ACTGTAATGAAATCGTCAATACAGGGCTTTGATAGATTACGGATTAAAGGTGGATAATAAAATTAACCATAATCAACGCAGGTTTAAGGAAAAATAGACATCACCAAACTATTGTGCTATAACTTCTTATGAGATTACAAGTCTGGTTCACACAAGTAATTATGTTGATGTGGTTGGAGTGATATGAAATCATCATGACATACAGTAGCTGGAGAATAACTGGCTAAGTAATAAACCTCACATGTAATAGTAAATGGGGACTCATTTGTGAGCAGATGTACTTCTGTAATGCACAATTCTTGTCACTCTGTTCTTTATTTATTTATAACAACCTAGCAGAAAATTTAAAATTAAAAAAAAAAAAAATCACTGACAGATTTTGCAGTTGAAGCTTATTTTGGGGAGAACAGAAAAAGATATGAAGAGGACAAGTCAGCGATATAGAACAGTATGAGCTGCTTTAGAAATGCAAATAATATGTATTCCACTGTGAACAAACGTCACAGCATATATCTGGGAACAAAGTTTGCTGTTCCTACTAATAGGAAGGGATTTTCTCTCTTCAGAAGAGGAGGGGAAAAAACAAAACCAACTAAGCTTGGAGCCAATGGAGAAAGCAGCTGAATGAATTGATAGGGAGATGCAGTGATTGATTACATGGGCTACTGCAATCCTTGGCTGTAGGTACAGGGAAATTTCAGGCTGGAACAGAGAGACTCTATTACCACTGAAGTGGCTACACAGACTACTGTGTCTTGTTCCGAAGTCCGCCACTTCTAAAAGCTGGTAAAAAACACTGCAAGTGCATCCTAAAATGCCAAAAATCTACGAAGTCACACCATTCTTCTCATCAAAGGCAAGGTTGGGATGGGATTTGACCACAGTTTATGCGATCTACAGGGCAAGCTCTAGTGTGATAATGGAGAAAGGACAAGACAGGGTATTCTCTGGAAGATACATCAGCCTCTCCTCAGCCATGGGACTCCAAGCAGCAAGTCATTAAGGAAAGGTTTTGGACATATTCTGGGCACACGCTTGTCATCGTGATCATCCCCCTGGCCACATAATGAAGCCCTCTGCTCCTTAACCTACCTCCCTATTTACACAAGTAAATTGCAAATCAGAATATGTTGTGGGGATGCTGCAGAAGTAAGCAGACAGACATAATTTCCACCACAGATCACTAATTACAGCGCTTGGCTCAAGAGAGGCAGAAGAAACACACAGTGGAATTAATGCCCCCAAGGCCAGGCAGGTAGCATGAATTCACTCCTTTGCACAGAGATTCTCAGGACAGAGCCATGCAAAGGGACATCTCCCTTCCCAGAGGGACAGTGGCATCACGTGAACACAACTGCTTCACAGAGCAGAGCGAGCAGGAGAAATTGCTCACTCTATTTTTGCTAGAGAACTGCCTGACGTAAAAAGCTGATGAGTGCTAGCCCAGAAATAAGTGACTTTTCTCCTAAATTGATGCACATAGAGACGCTGGCCTGCATTTCCAGTGTGATTAGTGTTTGCATTATCTCAGCTTCCAAAACCTAGTAGGCTCTCAACTTTAGGAAGCTGCCCTTTGAATGTGCCTCAGAACAAGCTCTCCAAACACACCCATCGCTGTGGGAAACACATGACGACAGACAAGACCTAATCACAAACGCAGGGGAAGAGGGACTCCCACCGGGACAGCTGGTGACAAGCACAGTCTGCTTGAAACGTCTGGGAACCTGCAACCTCCTGTTGCCAACGAGCAGTTGGGAACTGGAGCATCCGCAAGCTGAATTTTCAGCCCTGGCTGCTTGTGCCCACAAAGGCAACAGCATTCTTCAACCCAAATTACCTCGCTTAGTTTTAGGAGCTCCGAGGGGAACAATGAAGGAGAGCATTGACTTAGGACTGTTGTGTTGTGTTTTTTTTTTTAATCCTTTCTGAAAAAAAACGTGTTGAAGGTGGTTGGGGGAGGGAGTGTGTGAGAGGGGAGAAAGTTCTGGTGATGTCAGCTCCTATCGCCATGGAAACTGAACATTTTTAGTGACAATGGAGTCTTCCTCCTTGAGCTGCTGGGTTGCGTGGGGAGCAGGGGCAAGCAGGGCAGGGGCACACGAGGGAATTCAGCTAACTAAAACTATAGCTTCTGGCTTTCCAAGGAAGTGAGGAGGAAACTACAAATGAATGCCTGAATATATGATTTATGTAACCAAAACACTGTCTGGGGCAATAGCAGCAAATAATCGTTATGCTCTTTGATAAAACATGCTGTCGTGCAGCTAGACAGATGGAGGTATCTCGGCTGCCCGGGAACACCTGACAGAACGGTCCCTTGCCTGCACTTTGCTTTTCCATGCTACAGTTTATTCTTCCAACCTTTGCTGCCTCATTGGTGTTTATGTGGAAAGGAAGAAGGGAAGAGAAGGGGCTGGGAAGTAGAGTCCTTATTCTTGAAACTGAGAGAGGAAGCCACATATCTCCTAGGCAGTGCATTACTTCCCAACTTCACAGACGTTTCCTTGAGAACCAAACTTATGACCTCCCTTTGCAGGCAACGAGAGTCCAGGGCCACAAAAAGGAGAAGGCCCTTAGAGAAAACTGATTAGCCTCTGATCAGGATCTAATTCACTAGCATGGAGAAAACATGCAAGACCTAATGCAGGATGTCTTCTCTTAGTCAGCAGCCTGAGGCAGCACATACACCCAGAGGAAGCTGAAGCCACGACCCAGGTGTGGAGCCAATCAGGATAAAGCTTGGGGCTTAAATTCAAGGTTAAATAAAAGCCTACAGTCTGTATGTAAGGGCAAGTTTGAGCCTTGGATTTGATTTAAACAGTGCAGACAATTTTAATGAATTTCAAAGAATAATGAATTAATAACCACAAGCTTTTATAACTCGAAATACATTATATAGTCATTAGTTCTATATAACTAAATGGAAAAATCTTTCTTTAGCAGAAGTCTTTTGAGATCAGATATTATAATGAGATTACTATCATTTCAGCCTGACACCTCATGAGGACAACTGTATAGAAATCAGGAAACAAATTTCTTTCAGTTTTTGGACCTAAAATGAAAAATCCTTCACACTGATTATTTCATATCTAAGGAATGATTCTAAGTCTCCTTGGCACTGAAAGGAGTTCAGATATGAGTTTTTTTCCTAGTACTGCTGTCAGATGCATAAAAGACTCTCTTCTCAAATTTCTGCCAGCAATGGTGACAGAGGGAAACATGTAAATGGGGTTTACTCCCTTCTCATCTAGGTAGCATGGATTTCACTTCTTTCCAGCATGAAGAAAGCAGTTAAGCTCACACTCTTTCATTTAGCACTGCCCCACTGAGTTCTTCATGTGTCCAGATAACACTACTCTCACACCATGCTTGCTGGGACACCAGGCAGGGCAAGATCACCAGTTCCCAAGACTTTTACCCCATACACCAGCAATCCTGTGTCCACCTGAAGCAGAGCCTTCTTCCTAGCATACTGCAGCACATCACCCACATGGAGCAGCGCTGTGGGCTTCAATGTCTCCTTTGCAAGCACACCTATCCCTGCTTTTCCTCCTCAAAGGCTACTGTGGTAGAGTCTTGGTTTCCTTGCATCCAATCATCAGTACATTTTGCCACCAGGAGCTCAGGCTAGACCATTCAATGACCTGGCGTTCCTCACCATCAACTTAGCCTTTCCTGATGAACTCACAGTCCTAATAATACTGGCCCATTTTAAATCAGATGCTAATCACAGCAGGCTCAGCCCCAAGAAAGGTCTTCCCATCTCATACATGTTGCTTTAATTCAGAAAAAGCTCCAGCTTTCATCTGTCTGTCCTCCTTTCATGCACAAGCCAGCCGAGAATCAGCTTTCAAACTTTTTTACAGCTCAACTGAGTTTGAAAATCTCTTTCCCCCCTACCCCCAGAAGCAAACAATTATACACCCCTCCAGAGGGAACGACTTTCAAGTCTTGCTGTAGAAGAACTGTGTCAAAAGCAAACATGAAGACAGTGCTGCTCCACACCACAGGAGGAAACTCTGCAAAGTGAGCCTAAACTCACTGCTGGCTCAGTCAGTGATACGCGCACTTCCAAGTGACAGCAAATGCACATAATTTCTTGCTGGGAGAAAAAAAGAGGAAAGTAGGGGTTTCTCTCTGAAACAAATGTTCACTTTTTTTGCTGTGAGAACAGCAATACTACTAATTTTTTCTAACTTTGGTTTTTGTTGTTTTTTTGTTTTTTTTTTTACTATACCACAAGGCAATCTAATTGAAAACGGACAAATTCATAAAAGCACATGCCCACTGGTATCAGAGACAGACATTTTGCTGTGATTCAATAGGTAAATCCTGGTAGGCTTTCCAATTCATACATGCAGAGGGGAAATCAGAGCTTCACCATAGCAACTTTGTTGTAAAAAACACTCAAATGTCAATTTGTCCCCATAGTACCATGGGTAAGGCCAGTACAATACAAAGACAAAAAGCCCAGAGTAACAAAAATGACATTCCTACCTTTGAAACCTGCTGGAAACAGAGATGCTAGTTTCATTCTGGTAAAGGTTACACCTCTTCCACTCAGACATTTTAAGAACAAAACAAAGTTTCTAGGCTAGCTCTTCAGCTGGTACAAATTAACACCCTCTGCTGAAGTTGTGTGCAATAGCTCCCCAGCAGATGTGCAGCCATCTAAGCTACCTTGTCTACTGTTTCTTCCATAGATTGCTAACCCGAGCACATCTGACTCCAGCTCTGTAGAAGTCTGGAATAGCACCAGAGTGGAAACTTCCCCCTCAGTTTCACCATGGTAAATCAAGAGTAGTATCATTAGCTTTGTAAGGATTTACTTTCACCTGCTATCAGTATAAGAGGGGCTTAAGCCTGCTTGGTATGTTTAAGGAAAAAAGCTTTGTAGTTGCCATTAATCTTCATGTGCTCTTCAGATCTGGAGTGTTTTCCTCTTCGATGCAAGCCTCTAACAAACACAAAACAAATAAAACCAGAAACTGTCAACCTACCCAGCCATGACAATGAAGAAATCCAGGCGGTTCCAGGTATCTCCAAGGTAACACTTCTTGCCAAAGATCCCCAGGGCCACCATCTTTAAGACCATTTCCATGGCAAAGAAGATGAAGATGAAATCATCAAATACCTGCCAAACAGTAACCCAAAAGCACATTTGATAAGCGTTCTCAGCCTTGGATGTGAGATAAATACAAATTTCAATACTTCTGAACAGCGTCTTCCATGCAGCCCTGGCATCACAGCTCCCTGTTGCTCAAGGAAGCAAAAAGGGGCTTTTATGGGTTTTTTCCCCCCGTGTGAGGTAACTGATGTAGACTTAGAGACTCCTTACATGGAGGTCCAAACCTGGCCAGGGAAAGAAATGCCATCCTTCCAAGGTCTCCCAGGAGGGATTCCTCATCACTCCACTGCAAATAGCTCAGGTGAGGACATCGTGCAGCTTCACGCATAGCTTGGGCAGCACATACCAAATACAGATGGAGCCTTCAGATACCTGAACGTTGCAGCCTCAGCAATACTACAGAAGTTTGCTGTCACCTCTTTGGGGAAGCAGCAAGCACAGCTAGTGCGTTCATAAGCTGGGTACACCCATGGCCCTTCCTGATGTGCCTTTTGTTTCTTCTCCTTTAGGCATCCTGAATGACACAGTACCTGAGGACTTGACCCTTGCTCCTCAACAGAGCAGCAAATGTTGGAGGCTACTACAGTCTCTCCTGAGTGCTATAACCTTAGTTATTTCTCCCTGGCTTACCTCTGAGCTACATATCTTGTAGTTGTCTATGTCAGGAAACCCCTACTTAGGCACAGGATCAGGAAGGTTAGCAACTGTTTTGTATTGCATGGTCACAAGTAAACTTTATTCATTCTCTCTCTCTCTTATCCCATCCCCCTCCTCAAGGTAAGCTCTTTCCATTTTACAAAGGATAGCTTACTGCCAGGGACATTCTTGCCAACCTGTCTGGGAAGGCGCTGCCCAGTTGCTGAAGGAAAGCATATGTGAGAACTTGTGACTTGGGCTGAGACACTGTCACAACAAGAGGGAAATCTGCTTACCTGCAAGATTTTACACCTGTCAGAAAGGCAGTCCATATCCTCACACGGCTGGTACATCCCCAGGGTAACGCAGTTTAACAAAATCACCATCATGCTGACACACTCAAACCAGGTGGAAAAGAGTCAAGGAAAACTTCTGTAAAAGCATCATGGCTGAGATAAGCTTGCTCTAGGCTTGGGGTGACAAAACAGGAAGATTAAGGGAAGTAACTGCTGATAGACTGATTTATTACATTCTTATGTTTATCCCACTCAGTTCCTCATTGATTAAGCCAAAACTCATTTGAAAAGGGGAAACTAGAAGTAGCATAAAGGCCTAAGGAATTTATACAGGTCAAATCATTACCACAGTTAAACACATGCTCACTCCTCTCCTGTTGGCTTGCTGAGTCCCTTCCCTCATTGGTTTACTCAATCTTCCAAATGTGTGGAAGAGACTTTCCATAGTGGCCTATATTCAAATGTAGCAGAGATGTCTGTGATCTAGGGATCTAAATCAAAATTGACAGATGGATCTCTATGTGAGCCTAGTGACTACTGCCCTTCCGGGAAGGGGATACAACACAAGGCTAGAAATGTCCCCCTTCCGAGAGGAATTTGGAGATAGAGAGCTGCCATGTTGGAACAGGTCAATGGTCCATCTAATCTGTTATTCTGCTTCCAGCAGTGACCCATGCTGGATAAAGCTCCACAATGTGCCTAATTAAGTTATTCGGTAACCATGGGGGGAAATTGCGTTTCTGACCCCAGCTGGTGATCTATTTATGCCCTAAAGCGTGAGGATTGATAGCCCTTATAATTATTTTCTCAGCTACACTGGTGTCCCTGCAGATGCTTTGCTTATTCATTTGAATCCTTTGTTGATAATCTTACTAAAATATCTGCTTCAATAATAGTTGGCAGCCGTGAGCTACATTGGCTAATTATACTTTACATTAAAAATTGTTTCCTCCTATTTATTTTTAATTTGTTGCCTTTTAATTTCATCAAGCACTACTTCATTTATGTATTACAGAAGAGAGTAAAAATGGTGTATTTGTGTGACCTTCTTTGTGCTCTCCACACCCTCTACCTGCCTCCTTTTCACCATCCCTCTGCTCCTGAAGACCTGATGCGCATTTATCCAAGGACTCATTTACAGTATTTTGGCTCTAAAAGCAGGCATATTTCTGTGATATCTTTCCAGCGTTTGCATTGCAAAGCAGTGATGTAGATCTAGTAAGAATGGACTTCCAACCTCTGGCAGAACCATCCTTCTTAGGTATTTTGACACACCTCACAAACATACCTGCTCAGTTTCCATTTTCAGACAATTTATTTTTTTTAATTTAAAATAACAGAGCCAAGAAATTAACTATTTAAAATATAACCTGCAAAGTGCACCTATTTTCAGTCCTTGCAGAACTGAATTCAGAAGAGTGGCCTGCATCTCTGGTCACTTCTGAAAGACATCGACATCTGTGGTTTGTTCTGAGCAACTCTTCTGTGCTCATTCTCTGACAGTGATTCATGACTAACCTGCGCAATCTGATCTAGGAGATTATTAATTCTCTTCTCCCCAACCTGGTTTTTAGTGAGCTACCTTCAGTTGAAAAATCAGACAAGAACAGGACTTTATTGTGCCAATCATGCTATGAGGTGATTTCAAGAACGCGTTATCACTATCCCTGACTAAGTTAATCCCAAGTGCCATACAAAGTAATGCACACAGAGCCCACCCTTGATGTAGGCTTCAAAACTGTAGGCCTTTTCTGAGAGGAATACACCAAAAGGGCACGAATGTTTGCCCTCAGAGGTCTGCACAACACAACTTCACATTTCCACCTTTCTCTCTCTTACATATTTCTTTAATGATCTGATCCAAAGCTCAGGAAAGCAATTGGAGAGGTTATCATTAGCTCCCACAGACTTTTCAGGTAAGACTGAAATTCTCTTCCAGACTTTTCAAAATCTGTTCAGCATCATCTTCCCCAAAATTACAGAACCACAGAATGGTTGAGGTTGAAATAGGCCTTTGGAAGTCATCTTGTCCAACCTCCCTGCTCAAAGTAGCATCAGCTACAGCAGGTTGCTCAGGGTGACATCCAGCTGGGTTTTGAATGTCTCCAAGGATGGAGACAGCAGAAACTCTCTGGGCAACATGCTCCAGCATTTGACTATCTACACAGGGAAAAAGCGTTTCCTTACATTTAGATGGGATATCCCCTGTTTTGGGCTGTGCCCATTGCCTCTCGTCCTGTCATTGGGCACCCCATCAGGTATACACATGGATAAGATCCTCCTGGGCCTTCTTGTCTCCAGGCTGAGCAGTCCCAGCACTCTCAGCCTCTCCATTTTTTAGCAGGTGCTTTGACAACTACCGGAAAGGCAGTGACTGTGATGCCCTGACACAGGGATCAGTGCTGAATAACACTCTTCAAGAGGCCAAAAGAGTTTTGGCGTGGGCTGAGCCAACGGCTGCAAAAGTCCCTCTCTAGGCATAAGGCAGTCAGGAGAGGTACAGACAGTCCCACTGCCTAGAACAGCCCTGGATGAAATAAGTACATAAAAACCCCACAAGGTTGAACAATGTCCAGTGCAGCATCCTGCACTAGGGTCAGGGCAACTGCCAGTATCAATGCAGGCTGGGGGCTGAAGGGACAGAGAGCAGCCCTGCCGAGAAGGACTTGGAGGTACTGGGGGATGAGAAGCCATCAATGTGTGCTCACAGCCCAGAAAGCCAACCATATCCTGGGCTGCATCAAAAGCAGCATAGCCAGCAGGTCGAGAGAGGTGATTCCACTCCTCTACTCTACTATGGTGAGACCTCACCTGGAGTACTGCATCCAGTGCTGGAGCCCTCTGCACAGGAGGAACATGAACCTGCTCAACTTCAGGTTCAGCAGAAGGCCCTGAAGATGATCAGAGGGCTGGAGTACCTCTCTTATGAGGACAGGCTGAGAGTGTTGGGGTTATTCAGCCTGGAAAAGAGAAGGCTCCAAGGAGATCTTATTGCAGCCTTTCAGTACTTAGAGGGCCTGTTGTGATAGGACAAGGGGTAATGGTTTTAAACTAAGAAAGGGTAGATTTAGAAATTTTTTTACAATGAGAGTGGTGAAACACTGGAACAGGTTTCCCAGGGAGGTTGTCGATGCCCCATCCCATTCAAGGTCAGCTTGGACAGGGTTCTAAGCAACCTGATCTAATTGAAGATGTCCCTGTCCATTGCAGGGGGCAGGGGCTGGACTAGATAACCTTTAAAGGTCCCTTCTAACCCAAACTATTCTATGGTTTTATGAAAATGAAATGCAGAAATGGTTTTAAAGCCAGGTTTTCTTCTCCAGCAAACATCCAGAAAACATGACACAGGAGACCCAGAGACACTCTCCGACTGCAGCCAAACTCAGAGAATTCAGGCAAAGGGGTTTGAAGTCAGGGGTTTGTTTCATACAGATCTACGTTTTTGTGCACATGTTCCAGCAGCAGTAACGTGTCGGTGGTTGAGATGCTCCTGTGCTCCCTTTGCTCCTCTCGCTCCCCTCACAGTGTCCCCCCATGGCCACACAGACCGTCACAGGGTGCCTTCAGGCAGCTGATCAGACCCCAAAGCACAAAACTTAGCCAGTCGCAGCAAGCGCTCCCAAAAAGGTTGCAATTTAGGCCAGATGCACGATGCCCTGATCTTGCTCAAAAAGCTGTGGCTGGCTGCATTCGATTTCTCCTCCCCTGCTTTTTAGATACCAGCTCTCTGAAAGTTTGCCAGCGTTGTCCAGGCTTCCCAAGGACACTGCTGAATTGCTGGCTGCTCCTGGGCTATTAAAGTGGCATTAGGAAAAGCTTTCCTCCTGCCACCCCATGGCTTTCCTTTCAGAGAAGGCAGGGACCCTGAAAAGGCACATCCAACCTGCAGCAGAGAAGAAGAAAGTGCGAGGAGAGAACTGGAGCTTCTCCTGCCCCGAGCCAGGAGGGGTTGCTCCCTGCTTGGGTCGGTGGAGGGGGTAATTAGAAGTACCTGCTGCCTTCAATGTGTCACCGCTGTCAAGCACTGCGACTGCCTCCCGTCACCACGGCAACAGCCTGCAGCCAGGTTTATCATCTTTCTTTCGGTGATGCCTCCCCCTCCCAGCATCCTTTCACCCCCTCCTTTTCCCTGTGCTTGAGCCTGTAATTAATTTCAGCTGCTGACAAAGCCGGTCTCCATAATCTGCATCATTCAGTCAGAAGTTTCATTACTAATTAACTTCTTTCCAAGTTCAAATCTCCTAATTACAAGCAAACCCACACTTACGCTCTCCTCCCCTGTCCTGGCCCTTCCTCACCACCGCTCTCCCTTCCCATGGTGCCACTCCCAACACCTTTCCCAGCAAGGTCTGGGACCTCCAACAGCTTTTGGAACCGAAAAGGAGAGCCAGGCATTTCTGACAAGGGTCAGCTCCTCTCTTCTGGCCACCACAAGATGCTTCCAAGGAAGGTACCAGAAAGTCCACAACAATCCACTATGTGATAAACTTGCCCTTAAAGGGAGGTTTTTCCCTAACAGTGACAGTTCACAGTTGATTCAAGCCCTCCAGGATAAAGGGGTCATGGTGCTTATTTGGAAAAGGAAAAACAGCAGAGCAGAATCGTTTCCCTACTCCTTTAAGCGTGGGCTATCCTCATTATCCACATAACTGTCTCCTCTTTGTGTAAGCCCTGTTAAACTCTTGGCTTCAGCACAGTCTTATAGCATCAAGATCCATATCTAGGTTAATTATATTTTGCCTAAAACACATTTCCTTATACTGGTTCTATAGTTGGTGCTTGCTTGTGGTAACAACACTTTGTTTTGAAGATGCATCACCTCCTTGTCCCTCCACACCCCAAGGAGGGACAATCCAGCTGCTGCCCGAAGGCAGTCACCACATATTAATTGACCCTCCACCACGTCTTCCAACAGCCAGGGAAATTCTGGGACAGGGAAAGACTCAAAGTAGCACCAGATGCACCAGCACCAGGAGAGAACCATCATCCACTCCAACCCATCTGGGATGGAGTCAGTGCTGAAAGTCACAAGTTACAGGACAGTTAAGGAGATGTGCAGGTGTTTCTGGGAACTGGACATGTTTCCCTAGTCCTTGATAACATGAATATCCA